AGAAATCGCCTCCTTGGGGGGATGGCTACCTGGCAATCCCTTCTTCTCCATTCTCCATTTGCGATTTTGGGCATGCACGCACATGTACCCAGCATGATTTTCAAGTCACTGGGGCCAGGACTTGAACCATGGTTGGCCATGTGGGAATCCAGTGCCTTAACCACTATACCACCTGCTGGTCCCAAGAACTCTTTCAAGATAAGAGTTTTTATAAGATGAAACCATTCTCTCCTACAACAAAGCTCAAAACTAAATTAGGAAGCATTATCCTAATCTATCAACCTGTCACCTTAATGAAAAATCCTTCAAATCTCTTTGTTAATAGGGCCAAAGACATTGTCACACTGAGAAGTCTGACCCCAAAGGCAGATCCAACAGACATTGAACACTGGGGCGGGGGTGGGGCTAGAAAAAAGGATTATTCTGGTTCCAGTATAAAACACGGTTCATGGTCTGTAGCCACAAAGCGGAAGATGAGGAAATGTGGGGTCTTTAGATATTCCTACCTTGTGACTTCATATCTACATTTTAGAAAACCACACGAGAGTAACAATTTCTCGACTTTATCTTTAAAGTCTTTATAACACTCAAAACATTTTTCATATATTTACACCCTTGCCTCACAATGTCCTTGGGAGACAGAATGAGAATACAACGTTACCATGAGCAAATATCAATAGTGCGGTTACCATCCACAGGGCTCAACTCTGAGTGCTAGAAAAATAAAAATAAACAAAAATGATAAACAGTGAAGAAAAAGTTGCCTTGATGGGCCTTCCCTGTACCTAGAAAGACTGCTGCTCAGGCTCCCAAGGAAAGTATATCGAAAAGGGCATATAGGGCAGAGCTGAGTAGAAACAAAGGTTTTATTGTTTTTTTGTTTGTTTGTTTGTTTTGTTTTTGTTTTTGTTTTGAGAGGTTTTTGCTATAGGGTGCGTGTGCTCACTGGAAAGAGAGAGAGAGAGAAAGAGACAGAAAGCGAGAAATGGCCGCGCCGCAATCTCTTCTCCTCTAGTCTCCTCTCGAGATCTTGGGCACGCATGCACATGTGCCTGACGTGAGTTTAAGCCACCGGGTCTGGGACACGAACTAGTCGACTACATGGGAGTCCAGCAACATAGCCATTACGCTAACTGCTGTTCCTGAGCAAAAGTTTTTCTAAATGCTTTGGCAGTTTGCAGGCAAAAGGCATCTCTTGAAACAAGAGTGCTTACATGGCTTCGTGAAACATACATGTTTTTGTTTGGTTTGGTTTCTGAACAGAACATGTGTGCATGCATGAGAAGGAGAGAGAAAGCACCCTCCCCAGGATCTCGTCAGGCCACAATCCCCTCTGTCCATCCCTCCAGCTCCTCAGAATCTTGGGCACCTGCACACACCCAGGGATCTCAGACCCACCCAGGGATGTGAACCTGCGGCGGCCATGTGGTTTCCAGCACTGTGGTCTACAAGGCTATGGATTGCATCCCCTAGCTCATGAAGGATTTTATAGACAAGAAAATATCAAGGAATTGTGAGTCCCACCTCCACGTCAATGGAGACACTGCAGTTAGCAGCTGCCCCTCTGATAGGGTTCCCGAGAAGCAGAGAGAAACAGTGCTGTATTCCTCTCAGCAGCCCTCCTGTGCCTGGCACTGGGGTCTACACCAGCAAACATCCGCGTAGTCTGCAGCGTTTTAGATGCGCACTTTGCTCCCCTGGCTTTCACAGTGCTCCATGTCTCTTCCCACATTCCCAGCCAGGGGCCCCTGACCGCCATGCCCAGGAAATGTTCTCCCTGCCATGCCATTCTGATGGAGCCCTCTGCCACTGGGATGACGGGAAAGCATGGACTCCCCACCTACTTGCGATCGCTACAGTGGGGAGAGGCTGCCAGCGTGGTGGGCACCATCTGAGGCCTGCAGAACTGTACCACGCACTGCCTTCTCCTGCGTCAAGTCCCAAGCTGGAGGGGGACAGAGGGCAGGTGTTCCTGGCAGGGATGGATAACAACAAAGTCCATGTTTCCCGCCCTGTCCCAGACCCCAAGAGGGGAGAGGGAGGAGAAGATCAGGTGGAGGATAGGAGGGGGTGTCAGGGTGTGCACATTGTGCCTGCACCCCAGCTGCCATGGTCATTACACCCCTCTGGCTGCCCGGACATGTTGCTATGGAGTCAAGACATGCCATTGCCACTTGGCCTCCAGCAAACAAAATCGCAGTGCTGGCAAGAGCATCTCCCTAGACTTCCCTTAAAGGGACCCGGTGATGGCAAGCACTGCCTGAGCCAGAAACAACAGCACCATTGTCCCGGATGCAGCCCACTGCAGCGCGAGGAGGGGACCCCGTGCCTCACTTTACAAGGTGGATACACCTGTGGGACGAGCCTCTGAGCTGCTGTTCTTTAGTAATAAAACAAGCCTCCTGCTTCAGTTTAGTTTCGCCCCATTGGGTAAAAGCAAATGGTTTTTAGTATGCTGAATAATAATTCGGTGCTTCCTGAGTGGCACCATCACACCAGGATTCCAGCAGGAAACCAGATTCTTTGCAAGCAGTCTACATGAGATAAGGCATCCTTCTCTCTCTCTCTCTTTTTCTGTCAGTTTTTGCCACAGGGTGCGTGCACTCGCCAGAGAAAGAGAGAGAGGGAAAGTGAGAAAACAGCCATGGGGAGGGGTGGTCACGCTGCAGTCCCTTCTCTAGTCTCCTCTTGGGATTTTGGGCACGCATGCACACACGCCCGGCATGACTTTCAAGCTGCCGGGTATAGGACTCAAACCACACAGTCAGCCATGTGGGATCCTGTGCCTTAACGACCACACCTCCTTCTCTATTCCTTTGCCATTTCTTGCCCCAGACCCCTCTCTGCCAGTGATTGAGTCTTTACTAAAAGGACAACACAGTGCAGGCACGGAGTGGACACTGCCCTATGTCCTCAAGGCCATTAACTGTCCCCTACTTTGAGTCTGAGGAACGTCTTGATTTTTACAGAGACCCTGAAGTCCCCAGGGAGCAGGAAGTCCACATTATGCTGCACTTCCTACAAATATTTTGTAGTCATGAAGCATTTTTGCAGAGAAAAACATAGAAAAAATACGTCATGACTTTTCCAACAACCCAATAACTCCCAGGGGCTTTTCTTGACTACGATGGACAAACGGAGGCATGAAGTTCTAGTGTAATGTGTGCACGTTCCATGGAGACTCAGCCTCTGGGAGCAGGAGAGAACCGTGCTAGAGGAACACACATGTGATCCCTCACCGACTCAGCCATCCATGTTCTCCGAAACTCCCTCGGGGAGGATGGTAGAAACCCGACTATCTCTGTGTGCAGATAAGGGCACGTACTAAGTTCCATATGAACAGTTTCACTCAGGGCCAAAGAGTAGCCCCCCTTTGTTAAGATAAAGTGATTAAGTTGACAAGTTGGAGAAAAAATAGGCTCTTTTTTTCTTTTCTTTAAAGGTTTTCATCATAGGGTGCATGTGCTCTCTGGAGAGAGACAGAGAGAGACAGTGAGAGGGAAATTGAGAAATCGCCTCCCAGGGGAGATGACCACACCACAGTCCCTTCTCTTCTATTCTCCTCCTGGGATTTCAGACACACGTGCACATGTGCCCAGCATGATTTTCAAGCCATTGGCTCCAGGAATCGAACCACGCCAACCATGTGGGAGTCCAGTCCCTTAACAACTATACCACCTGCTGGCCCCTGGACACAGGCTCTTAATACTATCCCGATCCCAGACCCTCGGCGCGATGAAATGTTTTGGAAATAAACCCACCTAGATAAACGTGAGTCAGAGCTGGATCTAATGCAGGGTCCTCCCGGCAGCCCAGGCCAGCTCCCTTTCCCAGATCACCATGCAGAATTACATTCTCGCTCCTCTCTCCGTCTTACGATGCGACAACACTTCCTCGTCAAAACCACCATAACTTATTTTGTTCTCAATGAAGAAATGTTTCCCTGAAAGTCTCTGTGACTATAGGCCTGAACTATACTGCACAGCAAAGCGAGAACCCCACAAGCCCTCCACCATCCACCATCCACCTGCAGGTGCAGACAGCCCCGGGGGGCCTGCAAGCTGCAGCTGGCTACACACCCTTGCAGGTGCACTGTGGCTCTGGCTCGGAGCAGATGCACCACCCAGACCCGGCACATGACAGCCTGCTGATGCAGATGTACCACAGCCTCTGTGAGCCATCTACACGAGACCAGGGACCCTGGTCTGTAAATCTGCGCTCTCAGAGGAAGGCCGTAACAGAAGGAGTTTGGGCTCGTGCCCTCCTCCAACCCCACTGGGCTGAAGCCAGGTGTAAGTACCGGAAGGTCAAACAGCAACACAGCACCCTCCTGATCACATGCCTTCGGGGACGTCACCATGAGCGATCACCATCAGTGCCACATTATCACCATCAAGGTTGCATTAGGTCTAACCACCCGTACCAGTCCACATCCCCAGAAACAGTGGAATCCAGTTTTGTGCAGGACAGGGACCACAGAGCTCTCTTATGCTCTCGGCACTGGCACTGTCTGAGGAACCCCAGGCGGGGGACTGGGGTTTGCCTCGTCTGTACACGAGGCTTCGTCAGACAAGCTCCAGGTCCCGTTAGAGCTCCCCAGGGTATTCCTGAGACAGTGTGGTCATGTGAAGGAAGTGGATGGTTTCCCCTTGCCCACGGCTGTTTCTGTGCCCCAGTCACCGAAGGAGAGGAACTTCCTCTCTTAGGCTCCCTGCAAGCTGAACCAGGCAACAAAGCGAGGATGCTGACAAGTCCTAAGAGGCGAGACATGTGAACAACACACAGAAACACCCACCAGGGAAACCACCCTCCGTGAAGGGCCCCGAGAGGAGGAGAGTTGAGGAAGAGAAAGAACATCTTGTTTCCAAGCAGGAGGAAACGACTACAGAAGGCATGCTAGCAAACACTTTTTTTTTTTTTTGTCTTTTCATGAGCATCACAGTCACTGGATAAAATTCTGATGCGCTAAAAACAGATGGTAAATTCAAAGAATCACTTACCCTATGAAAACAGCGGGTTGACTTCTTTTCGCCAGTCAAATTTTGGTCTAATTTCTTCGGACGACTGGAAGAGAGGAAAATAAGATTTTAGAAGAATAATACGAAGTCCATTCTCTAAATCAACGCAGGTATGCAGACCTAGAAATTATAAGAACTCCCAGCAAGGTAAGTTAGTACAACCACTCTGGATGGTACGGAGGGTCTTCTAACAGCTAAAACTAGAACTACCATCTGACCTAACCGTCCCCCTCTTGGGTGCATACCCAAGGACAGGCAACCGCTCAGCTGGACAGACATCCGCACATCCACGTTTACTGCAGCATCATTCCCAATAGCTAGGACACAGCACTGACCTAAGTACCCGACAGCCGATGCCCGAACCGGGAAATACGGCACACACACACACATCATGGAGTAATCCCCAGCCCTAAGGACGACACAAGCCTGTCATTTGATACAAAGTGGCCAAACCCAGAGGATACAATGCTATATGAAATAAGCCATCTATGAAAGACAGATAGCATATGGCCCTGCTTAACACACACCAAATGTTCACACTCTAGGGGAGAAACTGAAGACTCCAACACTGGAATAGAGGCAGTAATGGGCGACACCAGGGGCTGCGTGGGGAGGGTGGGGTGGTCAGGAGGGGATTTACAGAGGACGGGAGAACACAGGGACATAAGAAGAAGAGGCCGTGGGACGGCCTTTTATATTCCATAGGCATGCCTTAACATGTCACACTGCAGTCCACAAAGATATACACTGATTACAGAAAACAAGAAAAAAAATACTCAAAAACAACATTCAAGCACCTGGGTCAGCCCCAGAGCTTACTGGTAAAGGGAGTTAGATCCCAACCTAGTAAACCATGGGATGGTTTCCCCTTGCCCACGGCTGTTTCTGTGCCCCAGTCACCGAAGGAGAGGAACTTCCTCTCTTAGGCTCCCTGCAAGCTGAACCAGGCAACAAAGCGAGGATGCTGACAAGTCCTAAGAGGCGAGACATGTGAACAACACACAGAAACACCCACCAGGGAAACCACCCTCCGTGAAGGGCCCCGAGAGGAGGAGAGTTGAGGAAGAGAAAGAACATCTTGTTTCCAAGCAGGAGGAAACGACTACAGAAGGCATGCTAGCAAACACTTTTTTTTTTTTTTGTCTTTTCATGAGCATCACAGTCACTGGATAAAATTCTGATGCGCTAAAAACAGATGGTAAATTCAAAGAATCACTTACCCTATGAAAACAGCGGGTTGACTTCTTTTCGCCAGTCAAATTTTGGTCTAATTTCTTCGGACGACTGGAAGAGAGGAAAATAAGATTTTAGAAGAATAATACGAAGTCCATTCTCTAAATCAACGCAGGTATGCAGACCTAGAAATTATAAGAACTCCCAGCAAGGTAAGTTAGTACAACCACTCTGGATGGTACGGAGGGTCTTCTAACAGCTAAAACTAGAACTACCATCTGACCTAACCGTCCCCCTCTTGGGTGCATACCCAAGGACAGGCAACCGCTCAGCTGGACAGACATCCGCACATCCACGTTTACTGCAGCATCATTCCCAATAGCTAGGACACAGCACTGACCTAAGTACCCGACAGCCGATGCCCGAACCGGGAAATACGGCACACACACACACATCATGGAGTAATCCCCAGCCCTAAGGACGACACAAGCCTGTCATTTGATACAAAGTGGCCAAACCCAGAGGATACAATGCTATATGAAATAAGCCATCTATGAAAGACAGATAGCATATGGCCCTGCTTAACACACACCAAATGTTCACACTCTAGGGGAGAAACTGAAGACTCCAACACTGGAATAGAGGCAGTAATGGGCGACACCAGGGGCTGCGTGGGGAGGGTGGGGTGGTCAGGAGGGGATTTACAGAGGACGGGAGAACACAGGGACATAAGAAGAAGAGGCCGTGGGACGGCCTTTTATATTCCATAGGCATGCCTTAACATGTCACACTGCAGTCCACAAAGATATACACTGATTACAGAAAACAAGAAAAAAAATACTCAAAAACAACATTCAAGCACCTGGGTCAGCCCCAGAGCTTACTGGTAAAGGGAGTTAGATCCCAACCTAGTAAACCATGGTTTGAATCCTAGGCCTGGTGGCTTGAAAAATGCACTGGGCACACATGTGAGGTTATCTCCAACCACGACAGGATGAGAAATGGAGAGGGGATTTCAGTGTGACCACGCCTGTTAGGGGGTGCTTTCTCTCTCCCTCCTTCCCTCTCTCTTTCTTTCTGGCCAGAAAATGTGCCCTGTGGCCATTTAAATAAATAAATAAGAAGAAGGAAATCCCAGCACCTGGCCCCTTGCCCTCCTTAGGCACATGGCTGCACATTTGTTCTGCTGACTCAAACGCAGAGTTCCAAACGACCCAGACCTAGAAAGTAGCCCCCCGCGGGATCCGTTCATTACAAGATGGGTGCTCTTTACAGCATGGAGCCCGTAACGGGATGCCTGGAAATACCTTCTCAGGTGAGTCTTTTGACAAGTTGTGTCTTGTGCCCACCATGGGATGATGGAAGACGGGTGTCTAAGTAACCACTGCACCCCATTCCTGCACTCTGGTTTCTCCACGCCCGCCACTCCATCCCCTGGAGCCATCCGTGATTAGGCTTGGATGGGAACGCCCACTGGGCAGCCAGGAGCCGGAGGCCACATAGCGGGCCTACTGAGTAATCCTGGGAGGAAGCCCCATGTCTGAGATACCGACCGGCCCAACCAAGTGTGGGAAAACACCAAGATGATGTGAATGCCGAGCAGAGGAAGCCAGAAAGACAAAGGGCGATAAGGGGCGACGGCACCAGACTGCTTAATCTACACCACATGGGGAACCGAGGTCAAGATCCAATTTTTAAAAACTTTCCAGAGACTGTCCTACAGATGCCCTTGCAGGTTTGGGAGGGAACGGGAGGCAGGCTGCTCTGGTGAGTTTCACAAGATCCAGGGGCCTTGGGGTTCACCCATGAGCTGTGGGACAGCCCCTGCTTGCCCGCCCTTTTCCTGAGGGGAAGCAGGTGCTGTGTCCGCGGGGGCAGACAGAGTATCCTCCGTGGGTGGAGGCCCCACTGGCTGCAGGCAGACGCCCAGCCTCGGTTTCTCAGAATCTGCGAGGCACACTTCGGATGGTACGGAGGGTCTTCTAACAGCTAAAACTAGAACTACCATCTGACCTAACCGTCCCCCTCTTGGGTGCATACCCAAGGACAGGCAACCGCTCAGCTGGACAGACATCCGCACATCCACGTTTACTGCAGCATCATTCCCAATAGCTAGGACACAGCACTGACCTAAGTACCCGACAGCCGATGCCCGAACCGGGAAATACGGCACACACACACACATCATGGAGTAATCCCCAGCCCTAAGGACGACACAAGCCTGTCATTTGATACAAAGTGGCCAAACCCAGAGGATACAATGCTATATGAAATAAGCCATCTATGAAAGACAGATAGCATATGGCCCTGCTTAACACACACCAAATGTTCACACTCTAGGGGAGAAACTGAAGACTCCAACACTGGAATAGAGGCAGTAATGGGCGACACCAGGGGCTGCGTGGGGAGGGTGGGGTGGTCAGGAGGGGATTTACAGAGGACGGGAGAACACAGGGACATAAGAAGAAGAGGCCGTGGGACGGCCTTTTATATTCCATAGGCATGCCTTAACATGTCACACTGCAGTCCACAAAGATATACACTGATTACAGAAAACAAGAAAAAAAATACTCAAAAACAACATTCAAGCACCTGGGTCAGCCCCAGAGCTTACTGGTAAAGGGAGTTAGATCCCAACCTAGTAAACCATGGTTTGAATCCTAGGCCTGGTGGCTTGAAAAATGCACTGGGCACACATGTGAGGTTATCTCCAACCACGACAGGATGAGAAATGGAGAGGGGATTTCAGTGTGACCACGCCTGTTAGGGGGTGCTTTCTCTCTCCCTCCTTCCCTCTCTCTTTCTTTCTGGCCAGAAAATGTGCCCTGTGGCCATTTAAATCAATAAAGGCCATTTAAATAAATAAATAAGAAGAAGGAAATCCCAGCACCTGGCCCCTTGCCCTCCTTAGGCACATGGCTGCACATTTGTTCTGCTGACTCAAACGCAGAGTTCCAAACGACCCAGACCTAGAAAGTAGCCCCCCGCGGGATCCGTTCATTACAAGATGGGTGCTCTTTACAGCATGGAGCCCGTAACGGGATGCCTGGAAACACCTTCTCAGGTGAGTCTTTTGACAAGTAGTGTATTGTGGC